AGAACAGCTGTTGTTGGACACTCATATGCTCAAGACTGTTCTACTCGACCTTCCGTCCATTGGATCTCAAGTCGCAAGAAAAGCTCCTGCAAGGTATAAACTACACTAGAAATTATTTATAGATAGCAGGCTTGCCTGAGTGGAAAAATAGTCCTTCCTGGCTCAGAAAATAATACTCTCTGCTCTATTTGCAATAGTTAATGCCCGTCTACATGCTGTGATATATCGCAGCGATCTGATCGGTATCAACCATATTGTTACGATAATCAGAGCATGTGGACGGAAGAGGTTTATGAAATTTGTTATTTTCCTGGCGATGATTGGCAACGATATCGTAAGGTTGCAGCGACAGGTTAGAACGTGTAAACAGTGCTTTAACTTATCGCTCCGATCATCTGCTTAAAATAGAAAACAAACAGTGTTCCCAAATTGATTGTCACATTACTGTATCCTGTTTCTTTATCAGAGGAGTAACTAATTTGAAAAATTCCACGTATGAGTCTTCTATCATTCTCAATAGTTGCGCCAGTGGTTCGGTTCATCTCTCAACTCTCTCAGTAGTCTCACATGCGAAAACTTGTCTCTCTTGAGAAGCCAAGACCGACACCGCTTACTTCTTGGTTTGCGTCGTCCCTTTCTCACTACTTGTGTCAAAAAAATTACATACAGGGACCACCACAGTATCTCTTCCACGTTGATCACAACTGAGAAAAGACCAACAAATTGTGAAGGAAGTTGGGGGCAAAAAATCATTGCGTACGGACAGAACATCAATGTCCAATTTATTGCAACGATTTGTTGGTGCAATCAGATTGCAGCAGTATGCCGTAGCGTGTGGATGGGGTTTTAGAATACCTACTGTCACTAACATCCATTATCAACCAAGGAAAGATTTTATTGAAGGAACCCTAACTTAGGTTGCCTCATTGTTAAATCTTTGAGGCCTTTAAACCATAGTAATCGGAAAACTACAAGGATTGACGAGGGTAAAAGGTAACAGTAGTTATTAATGTTTACCGATTTGAATCTAGAATGTGAATAATATAAAATACAGTACTTTTTCACCGTGATTTCAGCTACACTAAAGTTGTAGTGAAAGGAATGACAAGAGGAGAAATGATCCTGAAAGTAGTGATGGCTCCAATAGAACCTGATACTGCCTTTGTGGATCAGTTCCTGAAACTTTTGCCTGAATCTGACATTCAGGAGTTCCAGAAGGTCTTGGAAATGAAGGTGAAGTAACATTTTAGACAATATTGAATTTTGGATTATGACTTAAACTATTTACTTTTTGACTGCATGTAGCAACACAGCTTTGTGACATTGCGGTATGGAAAAAATTGTATGGTTAACAACTGCTCTTTACCAGTAATGATATGAGGGTATCGCTTTTTTCAATTTTTGGGCCAAGCCAGTTATCGGTTGGGGCTAGAAATAATTTCTTGGCCAAGTTTGGGTCAGGTAATTTATAATTGAGATGTGCGACAGGAGATAGACTTTTGGGAAGAGCTTTTATTCTCTAATTCTCAAAGCATATGCTAAAACATGCAATTGAAAATTTATGGTTTCGCCTCAATCACAGAAAATGTTAACGATTTTGCCATCACTGCAGGAGAAGTTTAAGATTTTAGACTAATTTGTTTCACATTACCTGTCATCAGTTCCAATTTGTAACTTTTGTCAAAGTACTTGTTATACGGTTTTGCTGTGACCAAGAAAAATGTTCTCAATGTTGTAACGTCCACGGGAGATAATGCACAGTAAGGTATTGTACCTGATTGTAATATAACTACTAAAATAAAAAAAATCCAAAACAACACAATTTATGTCCAACCCGATTTTGTCCTGAACCCCTAAGGGCAACCTTTTTTACCCGACCTGAAGTAATTAGTGTGGTCTGCAGGTTCCTACTTAACTTGCAAAGTACCTAGTTTATTATCTTCATGCGTAGACTTTCGTAGCCGGCATCCTAAGAATCCATGGTGGTGGTTTTTGGCGTCATCCATTTTACCAGTTGTAGATAACTACCATACTTTTCGCCCTTACTATGAAATGGTTAATAGTTAAATGGTTAGTAAACTGAGGATGCCACTAGGTAAAAGCAGAACGTCTGGCAGTTATCCACAACTGACAACAAAACACTGAAAACCACCACCATGGAAACCTACATTTTCTCAACCTACATTATAAATTACTGCTGATTTTGATTAGAAAACTGGATGTAGCTTTGTAAAAACGGAACTGATGTTCAGCATTCTTGGTATTGTATACTGATTTGATAATACTCATCACTTAATCATGGTTGACCATCACATTTTTGTCCAGTTGCTTTGACTATGATAGCTGACAAACAGTAATCCTAAAATTTAGTGTGAGCTCAGTTTTTGAATTTTAAGAATACTAGGTGGTGTTCGCAGAGGCATCCACGAAATTGAGCGGAGTCATCAGGGTTCCATATATATTGTTATTGGCCTTCACCATCGAGCTTCATAATTATTTTTACCTACAATTTTAAGTTAAGAGAACAGTTGTGTAAAGATAAATATTGGTGTAATTAGATTAGCTACACGTTGTTTCGTAATAAAGGGGAGTAAAAAACACAGAGATGTAATTTTAGGCATTTTCGGAGACCTGCATTTACATTTTAATTATAAACCCTCTGGGTTAGTCATCAACTTATTCTAAAACAGGGCGATACAGTTCTAGCTAGTTATAACCTAGAAGTCAACCCTTTACAGTTTCGGATTCTACCATTTTGGCTACTAATAACTGCATAAGAGGGCTTTAGGTGATGGTGAGTATATAAGTGAAACTCACGAAATATATTATAGTTACAAAAGTTATATTGACATTGACATTTGCGTTGATTCAAGCGTTTAAACCATAACCCATGTGTTACACGTTAATAATTTGTATAATCAATCAGAAGGTTGAAAGTTTTGGCTCAAATTGTTGTGCTTCCTAGTCGTCCTTGTTGATTTTGATATGATCGAACTATTTGCTACGTAGCGGCATTTCAAACACATTATGAAATCCACAATTATTCATGGAAACCAGTCTATGTATACGCTGTACGTGTAAATTTTGTTAACGTGTATGATTTTCATACAAACAAATCCATCACTTTTTTTTATAAAAGCTAATATTAAAAATTAAGTTTTTCTCAAGTAAGCCAATCACATAAAAAATATCAAGTATGACACTGTTATTTACAAAGCTGTATGTATTACCATGTAAACACATAAACTTTGTTCGCATTAAAACACGTGGTTCTGTTATTAAAAATCCCACAAGATTCATATACTACCTAAAGGACCCATGCTGCTCCGCAGCGTTGAAATAAATATCACATCCAAGAAATAATTAAATTTACGATTTTTGATTGAGTAAAACAGTATTTTGAACATAAATAAATCAAACATTCAAGAGCTCAAATTTACCTATAATTTAGCCTTTAATTTACTGAATATTTTGAGTTTAAAACATATAAAAAACAAACAATACTGAAGATATTGATTTTTAATCATAGAAAACCCTCATCTATTCTATATATAATTCAGTTTTAAAAATCTTTGTACAACTAAATCTAGAGTTCCACTGGACCGATTTTATTCATTAATGGGTCGTTGGAAAGCTTAAGTCGTGTAGATTTGCAAATAATTATGAAAGTTTGTTTTTGTTATGATTTATGGTGATAAATTAAAGAAAACGTGTTTTCCATAAGAAATACATTGAAAACGGTGTTTTCACAATTTTTATTTGGGCGCGACTTTTAGCTGCCATTTTTTTATATTTCCAAGAAGTGCATGGTAACAATTTGTAGGAAATGTTATTCTCTTTCAGAATATCACCTTCCACTTTGGTTGATTTCCTCACCATTTAAAAGTTATTTGCAAAAAAGCTAAGCAACCTCCGAATTTATAGTAATGAGAAAATATTGAGTTTGGGATATTTTTGTTGAACTTTGTACAACTAAATCTAGACTTCTACTGGACCGATTTTGTTAACTAATGGGTCATTAGAAAGCCTAACCCATGTAGATTTGCAAATAATTATAAAATCGTGATTTAATTAAATATTTGTTGTGAAAAATTAAAAATAACAAAAATACATTAAAAACTGGGTTTTTCAAGTTTCTGTTTTCAAGATTCTATTTGTAGCCAGGTTTTGGCTGCCTTTATTAAGTATTTTCAAGAATTGCATAGTAGTTATTTGTAGTAAATTTTATTCTCTTTCAGAATGTTACATTCACTTTGGTCGATTTCCCCTCCATTTAAAAGATATTGGCAATAATCTAAGTGATCTCCAAATTTATCGTGGTGAGAAAATACTGAATTTGATATATTTTTGTTAAACTTTGTACAACTAAATCTAGACTTCTACCGGACCGATTTGGTTACTTACTGGGTCGTTGGAAAGCCTAATTTGTGTAGATTTGCAAATAATTATGAAAGTTTGATTTTATTAGTTATTTAAGGTAAAAAAATAAAAAATAAAAATAATACATTTAAAACTCCTTTTATTACAGGTTTATATTTTCAATTTTATATTTGTAGCCAACTTTAGGCTGCCTTTATTGAGTATATTCGAGAAATTCATAATAGTAATTTGTAGGAAATTTTATTCTCTTTCAGAATATCACCTTCCACTTTGGTCGATTTCCTCGCCGTTTCAAAGTTATTTGCAAAAACGTTAAGCAACCTCCAGGTTTATAGTAGTGAGAAAATACTGAATTAAAGATGTTGTTGTTAAACTTTGTACAATTAAATCTACAGTTCTACTGAACCGATTTGATTAATTAATAGGTCATTGGATTGCCTGATTTGTGAATATTTGCAAATAATTATGAAAGTACTGTTGAGGTTGCAAGCAAGATCGTTTGGCTATAAATCGATGATAAATAACTCCATTTTTTTAACAATTTGTGATGGTCGTGATTTAGCTGCGTACTTTAATGAAATGGAAGCTGGTATTTCAATGAGGGTTCTTAGGTCAAAACAAATAGAGTAACGTAATTAGAATTAAGTAAATGTATCTAAAACTAAATTCCAAATCCAAGATATAATCAAATTTATATTTTCTGATTGAGCGATACAGTATCTTGAACTTAACTGATTAAAACTATCAATATCTCAAGTGAAAGCCTTTGAAGTATTTTAAGACCAAGACATATAAAATAACCTAAATAATAGAGGTACGTATCATTGATTGCAGATAGGTACTAAAACTATTGTATTTATTGTTGATTCGTGATTCAGCAGTGTGCTTTAGGTAGTCCGATCTTAATAATCAATAGCTCAAATGAAAGCTGGTATTTCACTTAAGGTGTTTAGACCAAAATGTATAATGCAATTATAACTGCTGGAATACATCTTTAATTGGAGGGAAAACAAATTCTTTCGTCGATTAATACATTAGATAAATTAATGATGATGCTTGATGACAAATATGTGCTTGCATAGCTTTATTTTAAGACCAAAATTATGAAAATCGGGCAGGTAGAAGAGCCCTCCTGTAAACCATCGCCCGCTTGCGAAACATTGCGAAAAACCAAAATTTAACTCCCATAAGAAATGTACAGGGAGGCAATATACGTCAAAATGAATGCCGATGCTTGATAGTAAATCTGCGCAACGTCCCACACCTTTAGTTTAAGGCCTAAATTATGAAAATCGGTCGGGTAGAAGAGCTAACCCGCCTCGGAAAAGAAAAACAAATTATTTTTATAGATGGCAATAATTGGTTTACCAGTATGCATAATCTAATCATACGAAACATGTGTTAATAATTCAACAGCTTATTGTTATCTAATTAATTTTTCTTTGATAAAATGTTGTTGTTAACAATTTGCATTTATGTTTAAAGTGTGTTTCTTATGTTAAATGTGTGATTCTAATGTTATGTGCTTAAACTGTACCATTAATATTAGTGAGTAAAGTGGTGTATGGATTTCATAACCATTACTTTACTAGAGACCGTTGTATTTAACCACAACGGGCACTGTTGCTAGTAAATATAATTTTCATGTTGATTGTTCACCTTGAGTTTGCTTGAAACTCGTGCAATGTGAATAACTTATAGCTTAAATGAAAGCTGGTATTTCACTGAAGGTTCTTAGACTAAAATATATAGGATTGTATAATTATAACTGTTGAAACACATCTTAAATTGAAATAAGAATTAGGACAAAAATCTAATTAATTTTTTTTGGTCGAGTAATACAGTAGATAAATGTATGCAGATACTTGATGTGAAATCTTTGTGCATGCCTTCAATTTGAGACCTCAATCATGAAAATCGGGTAGAAGAGCCAAACGAACTCGGAAAAGAAAAACCAAAATAAACTCCCGTAAGAAATACATGGGGAGCAAATTTCAATTACGTATAAGCCGAGTGGGACTGTAGATATATATGCCGATGCTTGATGTGAAATCTGTGCATGCATACTTTCAATTTGAGACCTTAATCATGAAAATCGGTCGGCTAGAAGAGCCCAACAGACTCGGAAAAGAAAACCCAATTTTTTAAAATCATATACAAATTCACAAACCAATTTATCGCTAATATAGGGGGTTACTAAAAATATTACATAAGGTTTCCCTAAGTAAGCCTAGAACAAGCCTTCAAACATAACTTCAACTGTTAATTTAGTTGGATGGACTCAAATAAAAAAACATGTTTGTTTTAATATTCAAAATGGAACTGTCAATAAACGTCCAAACAAGATGTTAAGGCTATTAGTATACGATTCAGGCAAGTGTCGTCATCTGATTATATTATTTATGATCTATACCGTTTCTGTTCTAATATCCGTGGAATAATGCTATCAGCTATTTCTTGATCTACTTCATTAAAAAGTCACCAGCTGATCTTATGCCTTTGTTTATGTGTCAAATACGGCTTCCATAAGGATTACATTGAAACTTTGAGGGCCCGTGGGGCGGATTCCATAGAGATTTTTTTGACGCCATATAGATGTTGGCACTCACCAATATGATCTTCATCACCATGCAAAATTTGAAAACGATTGCTTTAGCCGTCTAGGAGGAGTTTGCATATTACGAAATGCATAAGAGTCGACGTATAAGAGCTTCGCTCAATTAAGTAAATGAAGCTTTGCTGCTGTCTTTTATTATTGCTGGTCCACATACAGGGTGAGGCAGTGAGAGCACCCCGATTTTCTTTCGTTGTCACATTTTAAGTAAAGCAACAATAAATAAACAGCTGTGCTTATGCTTATATCATCACTCAAACTATGCCATTTTAGTAAACATTGTGCCTGAGCCTTGAAACACTGAGATTTTGCGGTAGGAACCTATTTAAAAAATAGTGGTCCTTGTGCAAACACCCAGAGATTGTTTGGACCACATTCCATACTTGGTCAATTTGGCGCTGTTCCAGATTGAAAAACAATAGGGAATTGGGTAAAGTTATTTAGGATAACAGCTTAAACCATAAAAATAATCGGTGGGTGTCGCAAAACTCTTTGTACACCAGCAAATATTGAAAGAGTGTGAGTCGCAGTAATTCAAAGTCCAAAGAGGTTTGCCATGAAGCTTTCGTTGTTGGAAGCATTACGTTGCCTCTCTGCTTTCTTTGGGGGTTCTCCCTATAAGCTACTTGAAATTTAAGGTTTTTCAAAGTTGCCCTAGAAATGTTCTTGAATTGTCCAAGAAATGATTCCTTAAGAAATTTTCGAAGGAGTATTCATTGGCAATTTCAAGCGACTGAAAAGGAATGTCAAGTAGGACAAGGACGTCACTTGAAGGATTTTGTTATCAAGAAATGGAAAAATGACTTTCTTAAGTTAAAATTGCAAAATATAAGCTGTGTTTTGATGTGCTATTTATACAGGGTGAGTTAAATTGCAAAATATAAGCTGTGTTTTGATGTGCTATTTATACAGGGTGAGTTTTAAATGAGTTCCCCCCCCCCCCTACTTTTTTCTACATTTCTTAAGACATCAACTCCGGACCACGTCAGATCATTGTAAAGTACAAAGTACTTCATTTTTACTGGGTATAAATTTTTAGCCGCCATCTTGGATCCGCCGTATTGGATACAAAGTTTTTTTATCAAATGTAAAGGTAGAGTTATGACCTATCATTTCAAACTAGACTTTTACGCTAAATAGTAAATACCATGCTGCAATTCGTTAAAAAAAAAATCTTGATCCATTTTAAAGTTATGAGAACTTTTTATAACTTTATTTTTAGCCCATTTTAACATTGTGCATTTACAAACTAATCTCAAAATAGTGCTAGATAAAGATAAGTAAACACCACCATTCATTGTCAACCCATTTTCACTTGGTTATGACGGATGTATTTTTTCGGCCGCCATCTTGGATCCGCCATTTTGAAATGTGATAAATTATTTTAAATATCAAGGTGGTGTTGTGACCCACCATTTTGAACTACTTTTGGTACTTACGTATTATACGGAGGCCACTTATTTTACAGCGCGCTGCGGCGGTTAGGTTAGGTTGGGTTATCATAAGTTTTTATGACTCATCTCGTATAGTTCGATTCATAACGAAACTAGGAAAGTTCTACAAACATATTTATGATAACCCAACTTAACCCAACCGCCGCAGCGCGCTGTAAAATAAGTGGCCTCCGCATAATACGTAAGTACCCTACTTTTTTATGCTGAACTCAATGCCATAATCCGTTTTTTTTATCAAGCATTCTTGATGAAACATTACAATTATTTTATTTAAAATGTCAATATATCGTAAACCAAATATTAAAATGAAAAACGGATTGTGGAATTGAGTTCTGTATAAAAAAGTAGTTCAAAATGGTGGGTCAAAACACCACCTTCATATTTAAAATAATTTATCACATTTCAAAATGAAGGATTTAAGATGGCGGCCGAAAAAAATACATCCGTCATAGCCACATGAAAATAGGTCGACAATGACTAATGGTGTTACTTATCTTTATCCAGCACTATTTTGGGTATGGTCTTAGTCTGTAAATGCACAATGTTAAAATGGGCTAAAAATAAAGTTATAAAAAGTTCTCATAACTTTAGAATGGATCAAGATTTTTGAAAACGAATTGTGGCATTGTAATTTGCGTAAAATTCTAGTTTGAAATGGTGGGTCACAACCCTACCTTTACATTTAAAAAAAAATACTTTGTATCCAAGATGGCGGCCAAAAGTGTATACCCAGTCAAAATGAAGTACATACTACTCTACAATGATGCGACGTGGTCCGGAGTTGATATCTTAAGAAATGCAGAAAAAATAGGGGGGGGGGGGGAACTCATTCAAAACTCACCTTGTATGTATAGGGTAAATAGTATTGAATTTGTTCTATTTATAAATTGGGGCTCTTTTATTGCCTCACCCTGTGAGATATTTAATTAAAACTGAACTATTCTTCATAAACCATCTTGGGGCAATGTAACTAATTTACTACTATTTTCTTCCAGGGCTTGAAAGCCGCTGAGAAAAACCATCTTCTATCAATATTCCGGCCGAGACACTCCTCAGGTTTTGTGAATGGCTCCACTTCTACCAACAGTCCCAAGCACGATACAAGCAGTATCCGCAAACTCAACAATTTGATTAAGAAGAATTTTGTTGCCGGCAATGGAGAGTAAAACAACAGCTGATTTGCCATATTTTAAGATATGGATTTGTTCCATTACTTTACTACCACAATTATGTTTTTTCATTCTCATTTGAGGCGATCCATTCAAAACTCACTTTATCCATTCTTTTAGAAATTGAGTTATTGGTATCACTGCATTCAGCAGAAAAAGTCGTTATAAAATACCGTGTCAAAACTTGTGTAATCCTACTAATATTTAATGTTAAAAAGTGTGTGTCATTTCCAAAACTCACTTTATTTCGGTTGTATCATTCGAAAAATCACATAATCCACCATTGCCAATTGGAGGCTGTATTTTTTGTTTTTCCAAAACCATCTTTATCCTCTTACCCAATCGGTGGCCTGAATTCGGTCATGTGACTTTGTTGTCATTTTGATTCTGGCTGAGATCTTCATTCTTTCAGTGCAATAATGATCAAGATGACAGTTTTGTAGTTTAGAAGGGTACTCTTGCTCTTAAAGTACCAATCAATTAATTTGAAAGATGTTAACATAAGTAATTTTCTCACTTTTAATTTTAACATTAGTCCAGAGAACGTCTAATGACCTGTACTTCTGTATTCTTTTACTGTAAAATATAAAAAACTCATGAAAATGTTTTTTATAATTTTATAACTTTTCTAGTAAGTACCACTTCACTTAGAAAAATATACGAGAACCTATTAAGGTTAATACAATCCATATTATTAGGTCTATTATCTTAATATTTAGTTTTATTGTTTAAAACCAATAACGAGACTGATCAGTGTTATGCAATCCTAGTGTTCCAAAACCAGCTTTATCCATAGGTGTCAGAGCAAAACTAACTTTATCCATTTGTGTCAGGACAAAACTTACTTTATCCAAACTTAAAACTTATTTTTCTCAAAAACTACACATATTAGGACGAAAAGGCATGCAATAATACACAAAGACACATATCTTTCACTTCGGATGAAACAAAACATAATAATTCACTGTCAGGATAATTAATTAAAAGTTGTTTTTCATTTCCTGAAAATTTTAAAGATAAGGACAATGTGAGTTTTGGAATGGACCGCCTCATTTGTACTTTTAAAAACAACTGCTAGAGGCATACACAGCACACTGCATTACAGGCAAATGATGTTTATTTGGAAGGTTTTGTCACTTCATAACAATGGTTGGCCTTTATGCTTTAACTCATTAATACAGTTTATGACAAAACTATCTACCTGTGGGTAACATCCCATCTTTAAGGGTTGTAGAGGAATCCAGTGTTTTATAGTCAGTTTTTGTATAATCAACTGATACTAAGTCATTAATGTTAAAAAAAAATGTCCTCTAGGCAAGAAATAATTACTATTGTGGGAAAATTTAGCTTCAGAACAGTCTCTGTATTTTTAATTTATAAGTAGCTTGGATTGCTGGACAGAGGAATTTAAATGCCATCTCCCCGTATTATATACATTCAAATAAAACAGTATTAAGGTAAAAAAAGTGAAGCAAAATCATTCCTCCTTTTGTTATGGACATTTTAGTACCAATACACTCCATATTACCCAGGAAACCCTGGATATTGAAAAGCATTTTGCCAAATGTTATTTTCAAACTCACTATAATGTAAATTAAAGTGTATTTATATAGATTAACGACAGTGTATATTGTATATTAATAAAAATAATATATTTGTAATTTGTTTTGAATATATTTATCCCTTTCCCTTCTAAGTTTTACTATTATCTATACTATAATATGAGTAACGTTTGCGCACAATGATTTCAAAAACAGCTCCTATGATTTCCTCCAAATTGTTAGAAATATCTTAGTTTTAGGCTAAAAACAATATCCATGCTATGCTCTGTTATGGAAAAAAAATTTTTTCGTTACAAACTTAAAAGAAAATTTTTATACTTTTAACATTAGTCTTATGGACTGTCAAGTAGCTATGGCAGTTTTGCGAAAATGTAAATAAATGAATTTGTAGCATATGCTTGTAACAAATCATCTACTGTACAGTAATAATTATTAAATACAGTACAAAAGAAAAGGATATTCCTATGAATGCTATTGAGCATTGATTATATAATACACTTGGGGTGTACGATAATTACTAAGCAATGTGGTAATTACAACTGTTCAAAAACATAAAGTCTTTCATCGCAAAACATCTTTCAGTAATATTGAACTTTAAGTCTCGAGGAAAAGCCATGAACGTTTTTGAGGATGCGCCGCCTGAATGGGCGTGTTTTTCCACAATCGCTTAATTAGTTGCGACGTTTCACGATCCCAGTGGCTAACACATCACAACAATAAACGTCAACCGATTTTATGTAGGTATCGTGAGGTTTTTTTATTGAAGTTTATTTAGAAATGTTTAACATAGATTGTTCGCATGAAAAAGTTTGTTAGGTAAATTAAGAATGAGGAAATGTACTGAAGACAGTGAAGACCATAGCAAAACTGAAAATGAAGATGATTTACAGGTAAAACTAATAAGTTACCCAGTGTTTTAATAGGTTGACTAAAGTTCCAAGTTATTTTTTTTTAACATGTTTGATTTATTTAGACTTATTCTAAATGTGGTTTATTATGAAAACTAATCCCTTGACACTCGCATAGGCTCTAAACTCTTGGAGTATAAAGTAAAGGCTATGATATTTTTGTCTTGCAAACCTTTAAATTTGTCCTTTGACAACAGTAAAACACCTTTGCTACAGTAAAATACTGTAGCAACTGCAGATTAGAAGTAAATCTACACGTTTTAAAATATGACTTTTGCAACTTAACTGTTGTTAATATGTACATAGGGAGATAGCAGTAAGCTAGAAAGCCAGTTTATTTCCCTTCTTCATTAGGTATAAATTTAACTTACAATAACAAACATTTATATGCGTACGAGCATTTATGTTGAAAATTTCCACAATAAATTTCAACAACAACAAACTCATGATAACATCTGTTCGCCAGCATTGTTGCGACGCGTTAGTCACTGGGATCGCGGAACGTCGCTACAATGGGATCGTGGAACAACGCGCCCGCGCCGGCGACCCGTCTAAAACTACAACCATAGACTATAGAGTAAACCATTACATATTCTATAGTCTGTGCTACAACGCTCAAGACAATGTAATTTATAGTTTTTTTTGCTGTTAAATACTCTAGGTAATAACCGTAATAACAGACGTATTCATCCCATTTCACAGTAATACACTCTCAATGTTATTAATTCGAATGTATGTCATGCATAAACACAATATTTTCTTATAATGTAGCATAATTAAAGTCAACATTTCTTAAATCATAGTACGAGCACAGTAATATAATATTCACAATTCAATAATGGTATTCACAAAATTAGGAACTGAGCTAAATATTACATTGAATTTAGTAACTATTAGTGAAAATAATACTACTTACGACTGTTGATTACTATCGTAATTGCATTGTAACGTAATGGTAGTTTACGCAACGATTGCGTAAAGATAGTGTAAACGATACAAGTAGAAAATTTAAGGTACGAGCCTTGGCGAGTGCTTTAAAAATTTCTACGAGTGTCGTTAACACTATTTACGTGAGTTTCGTACCCTACTTTACCTACGACAATGTTTTAATTACTAAAAATCACACTAATAACTTCTAAGAGAGGTTATGTTTTTGTTTATAACCTCTAATTGCCACTGACAGTGATGCAACGAAACATTGTATCAAATACTAATTGCACCAATCAACAATTAAATTGGCCTGAACAGCTGATTAGTTGAATTTTGAATCATTACAATTTTGCTTCTCCTCTCTCAATCTTTGAACCTCATTGGTCCGTTACCCGTGTTGTTATGAGTAAAACTATGCTGTTATGAAAGTAAACAATGCTGTTATGAGATACTTTTCAATTCTAAGAACTGTACTGAAACGGCTACTTTAAAAAAAAAACTGTTGTAGGTAAATATATTTTTCGTGACGAGCTATTTACCTATTTTCATGTTATATTAATTTAAATAGTATATAATACATACATATAGGCCTACTATATAATTAATATTCCATAAATAATGTTATAATACATTGTATTGTAGCGCATTAAAAGTTGGCTAATAAACTAACCAAAAACCTATTTCATTGTCAGCTGATCAGCTGATGATCAGCAATTAATCCTCTAGTGTACTCGCATGACGTAGGCTACTCGTTTCTTATTGGTCCATTGTTGTCTTGTAACTGTCGTTGAACTGTACGATGTATTTTCAAGTCACTACGCGTAGTATTCGTAGTGACCTTGTAGTAGTATCTGTATCACGTAGTATTTGTAAGTGTGTATTAGTGGACATTTAGTTAAAAGTGTTAGTGTCAAGTGACTCATTCAGTGATAATATTTATGCAGATTTTCCTGTCACGATATGCATCTTTGTTTGGAGATTCTTTGCAGTATTAATTCTGGTATGTATTTTTAACTATTCAGCATTATTAAACAAGCATAAATTTTCTGCAAAAAATAAACCAAAGTATGATAATATCCTAGTCTAGCATACATTAGAATGATTAATTAGGCTAATGGCTCTATCATTTATATGGCTTATTTTGTTTTAGAAAATGACTAATTAGGTTTCCGCTGAATTAGTGCTTTATTTAGGCCTACTAAAATTGAATCAAATTGTTGATAAACGGTACTTCTAATGATAAAATTGATATTCTTGCTAGTTCACAAACTTTTGCAACTACATATTTTCAACCTTTTGGTAAAATATTAACATAGTTATTTTATTTGACCTTCATAGTCATAATCGTAAAAAAGATAGCCCTTATAAAATTTAGGAATAATTATCTTAAATTTTGGCCCTTAACATAATAGGTCTGTATTACCATTGATTGCTGCCGTTAGGTTGTAAATAAATAAATAATTAATCTTAGCCTAACAATAATAAAACACATTTTGAAGGGCAGTGTATTTAAATTGTGACTAAGCCTTGAGTTAATCAATTTCCAATTGCGATGGAGTTTAGAATTGAATATAGCATAGCCCAAACAAGAGCCACATTTATTTATAGAAAGATAATTACTAACAAGCTTATTTAAGAGTTTTTTTTTAACTGTGATTAAGCCTGAACGAAAATAGTACCTATATATATTTTTATGCTATTAGGCCTATTGATAAAAGTACATCAACAACAAAATAAAGCCACAAAAAAAATGAAGATAGGTACTTCGTTGGTATATTCTTAACAAAATACAAAATATGATATTTTATCTCCTACGTTTACGTACCGGTAAGCTGTGTTTAATATTTTTTGTTAAAAAATGTGAATTATTAAGCTTTAAGAAACTCTAAATTAATTCTCGTTTTTCATATTTGCATTTCAAGCAAAATTTTAATTTCTATGAGTTGTCATTGTCAAAAAAATATTAAGAAGGAATTTCAAGCGGGCTTTTTTAACTCCAATTTTATTGGAGAGTGTTCCTTTTGTGTTATAATTTCGATAGTTTAATACAACATAAAACAACTATTGAAGATACCTCCTGCATAATAAATGCTACGGTCAAAGTATATGTTGATGTTCCTTAGATAAGCTTTTAAAGCTTATTTAAACACATAAATAGTAAAAAAACTTTGTTCTCAGGTTAGTGGTTGCAGTCGTACCAAAGGTAAGAATTTATATCTCTGAGTGTTTGGGGTGTTAAATAATTTCTTGTATCCAGGCTTCGGGTAGGTTTACTATACGAATACGTTCTACCGGTTCGAAGTACCTTATAGAAACATACATCGAATTAAGTTGGTACTATTTCAACCGCGTGAAGGGAAGAAGTGTTAGGGGTACGCGTCTAATTGGCACCGCGTCAGATTGGCACCGCGACAGATTGGCACCGCTCCTAGAGGTGCCAATCAGTCGTAACAGTACACGACAGATTGGAACCTGGAGAAAGGGGTGGTGCCAATCTGTCGTGGTGCCAAGCTGACGGCTGCCGCAGAGGTGCCAATCAGTCGTAACAGTATACGACAGATTGGAACCTCGAGAAATGAGTGGTGCCAATCTGTCGTGGTGACAAGCTGACGGCGGCCGCAGAGGTGCCAATCAGTCGTAACAGTATACGACAGATTGGCACCGCTGCCCTCAATAGGCCCACCTTTTCGTTTTACTTACTAGCAGAAACGCGTTTAGCGTTTTTAGCGTTTGAAAGCAGAAACGTGTCAATACTTGATGCATGTCAATTAATATATACACATTGATAATAACATTAACTTTAACAGCACAAACCGCTTCGTAAATGGACCATCTAAACAAAGTTAGAGTTCCTCAAGGCTTTTAATATTATGCAATTAAACTCAAGTTTATAATTTGGAAAACGTCTGATACCTACTAAAGTATTTGGCACAATTGAATGAAACATTGCAGTCATTTTTCGGAAGGGGGGTGTGCGTTAACCTGGTTAAAAAAGGTTTTTTCATTCAGAAGTTACAGCTTGTCAAAGATATGACAATTTATCATTCAGTTATAACTAATATTATTTCAATGAAATGATATTTTTTATGCATTATAGAGTGATAAATTATGATATATTTGAGATGCTGTAATTTATTACTTAATTTACCTTTTTGTAAACAAGATGCGGTTGCACGCAAGTAGGCTTGCCCTATAAAGTAATTACCGTTACTTCCTTCTTGGACCAAAACTCTATAATCAGGTAATGTATAACTCGAGGTA